AAGGTGCCACTGTGTTCCCAAACCACCACACTGGGGACCCAGCTTCCAGCTCATGAACCTTTGGGGACAAATTGCGTTCAACCATAGCAAAGGACATGATGGACCTGCAAGGCCCACCATGGCTCCTGCAGGGAAGTGGAAGCCTTCCCAGGAGGGGCCGGACCCATCTCCAGCATTCCTGGACCTTTCTCAGGACAACTTACTTTCCTTTGAATCAAAAATTACACTCCAGCTGGGGGTGGTGGTGCACACCTGTAATCCCCACAGCTCCTCGGGAGGCTGAGGCAGGAGGATGGCAAGTTTAAAGCCAGCCTCAGCAATGGCGAGGCACTAAGCAACTCAGTGAGACCCTGTCTCTAAATAAAATGAAAACAGGGCTGAGTGAGATGTGGCTCAGTGATGGAGTGCCCCTGAGTTCAATCCCCGGTACCAACAACAAAACAAAACACATTCCATGTTGCTAATGGGTTAATCCCTCCTTCCAGAGGATCGATGCTCAGGGCCTGTGCTGAAAGTCTTGAGGACAAAGACAATCCTCCGAGGTCCTTGCTATCCAGAGGAGCCATCCTAGTGGCTGTGTCCCTTCCTATTCTGTGATATTATTCTGCTCATCAAGAGTCACAAAAACAGAGTGAGAAAAGGCCCCTGGTGGGGATCGATTCCAGTGTTTTCTGAAAATCTAAAAATCCAAGAAATCTAAAGATTCTAGTAAGATGAACTAAGAGAGCCTTAATTAACCCAACAATAAGCCTGCTGGAGGGTGCCACCCCGGGTCCTCTGTGGCAACGCAGCATTGTGCCAGTTTAATTCTGGAGAATCTCCCACTGTTCCTTTCTGCCCACTGCCGAGCCCGTGCTCCCCGCGGGCACCGAGGTAGCCCTGTTCCACTGTGCGTGGGTACCAGCATGAAGCACCTTGCCCTGGGTGGCTCAAGGCCAGCAATGCACGGTGGAGGCTGCCAGTCCAAGATTGCGGTGTCGCTGTGCTGGATCCCTCCGAGGGCTGAGAGGTCTGCTCCTCCCCCTCACTTAGCTTCTGGTAGATTCAGGGGTTCCTCACGTGTCAGCCCTCCATGCTTTTCTCCCTCCGTATCCAAACTTCTCCTTTCTACAAGGACATGGCCACACTGGCTTAGGTGCTGAGCCCTCCCACCTTAAGGGCCTCCAGTTACAGGTGGCAGCACCTCCGTAGCTCAGCCCCTGAGAGGAGCCATTGCCATATCCTGCCCTATGTCTTTCCCGTGTGTCTGTCACCACCCCGCAATGGGAGGCCCTCAGACAGGCTGATGCAACGTGCTGAGTGATGCAGGCCCTGGAGCAGGGCTAGAGATGGCAGTTATGGGGAAGGCTCTGGACCCGGTGCCAGCCCACTCAGGTTCCCTGCTGCGAGAAAATGACCATGATCCCGTGGTTCTGAGAGGAGCTCCCTCTCCCCCGGTTCTGTCTCCTGGTCTCCAAGATGATGGTAGAGCGTTTCAACCCCCAGGGAGAGGGCTGTTCCCATGGGTCAGTCAAGACAGGGGACTCTGGTCAGCTCTGAGTGCTCAGGACACTGCCCTTCCTAAGCTTAGCTGCGTGCTTCCTGGAGGCTGGGGAGGTGGTGGGAGGAGGCCTCCACCCCAAGGCTCGCGTCCTCCTTTCTTACCCAGCTCCACCTCTGGTGACCAGATCCTCATCAGCCCCGTGAGGTTCCTGCATAGGTAATGCTGTGGAGTGAAGTGTCCCCCAGGTTCATGGGAACTCACCCCCACTGCCACAGGACTGGGAGGCGGGGCCTTTAGAGACCACGAAGGGCTCAGCCCTTCTGAATAGGCCAATGTCATTCTAAGGCTAGATGTCAGGAGAGTGGCTTTGTTAAAAAAGTGAGTGTGGCCCTGTCTTCTTGTCACGTGGGACGGATGACTCAGCAAGAAGATCCTGGCTGGGCCAGGACTTTCTCAGGTTTCCTAGAGGAGTAGAACCAAAAGAAAGAACACACACACACACACACACACACACACACACTTCTTTCACAGTAGGGGACTTATGGGATGGTGAGCCCTATTCACCATCTACAGGCTGAAGAACTGGAGACACCAGGAGCTGCTGAGTCCAAGGAGCCTCACAATAAGAGGGACCCATGATCAGCTCCAGTCTGAGGCTGGGGTCCTGAGATCTCCCTGGAGAGTTGCCGGTGTGCGTCCTTGTTTAAGGGCTAACGAAGCTGGAGTCTGCCATGCAGGGCAGTGGCACCTGCTCAGGACAAACCTGGCCTCCCCTGGCTGGCCAGCTTCCCCCAGCGTTCTGTGTAGCCTTCAGTCCACTGGACAGTGCTGCCCACAGTCAGGGCAGGTCTGCCCCCTCATTTGCTGTCCCACATGCCACACCCTCACAGACACCCAGAGTGCTTGACTGATTTCTCTCTCCACCCAGTCGTGGTGTCCATCAGGATTAACAAGGCCCCCCAACCTGGGGCTTGCCAGCTTCCCGAGCTGTAAGAAATGAGTCTGTTCCTTATCAGTTATCCAGTGCCGGGTATTCTACCTGAGCAGCAGGAAATGGGCAAGCCCGAGAACCCAGGGAGACTTCCTGTCCAGGGCCCTTTCTGGAGTCCATGTGGCCTCCCCTGGGAACCTCCTGGTAGCAGGCAGAGAGGCCATCCAGATGGCAACTTGGTGACACGGGACCATAGCCGTGGGAAACGTTCTCTCTGAAACCATGTCTGCTCCTGGTTTTCCACCTGAATTCTCTCGTGGACCCAGCCCAGTGAGAAGCAGAGCAGCTGTTGAGACACCTCTGGCGACCTGTCTCTCCCATCGCTGTGTGAACTCCCGTGACCTGCCTGGCTGCAGCCCAGCTTCCTCCCGTTCTTGACCTTCTCCTGGGAGACACATTTTCTCTGGCTCTTATTTTTAATTTATAGCCTCTGCTTTATTGAAAGCACTCTTGCAAGTTGCCTCTATTCCGCTGTGAATTGAAACAGGGTATAAGGAAATAAAATGTTTTCTTTTTTTCCTAGAAAAAGAACATTTTGGAAAATAAAAGTCTGTTTTCTGTGTATTTTGTTTTGTGACAGAAGCAGCAGGTAGAGGAGGGTTATCTGATTTCATAGACCCGATGCCCTGGAGGACACAGGCTGTGTGTGCTGCCGAGTGCATTTCTGTAACTGGAATAACTCTGCTGACATTGTTTTTATTTTGTGGGGGGGAGGGAGATTGTGGGTAACTGGGGATTAAACCTAGGGACACTTTACCGCTGTGCTACATCCCCAGCCTTTTTATTATTTAATTTCAAGATGGGGTCTTACAAAGCTACTGAGGGTCTTGCTAAGTTGCGGAGGCTGGCCTTGAACTTGTGATCCTCCACCTTGGTTTTCATTATTGCTTTTATATATTATTGTTATTTGGAGGAGGAAAGAGCAGAATATGAATTCTCTCATTCCTTTGGTTCAAGGTTGGTTTCACGGACAATTTACAAAGTGAAGTCGTCTTTCTAAAGTGTCCAATTCAGTGCAGTTCGACAAAAGCTTAGCTCTGTGATGGCCATTGTTCAGCTGTAGGATTGTGGTCATGCTGGAAGGTTCCAGGGACCCTTGTAGTCCATAGGCGCTCAACGCTGCTCCCACTGCCCGCCACTCATCAGAGCTCTTTCCCTGTGACTCTGTTTTTTTTCTCCAGATGATCATATTAAAACATCATGCAACACACAACCTTTTCTTTGTCCAGCAAAACGCTTGAGTGTGATCTGCGTGAGTGCATAGATAGTGCTCACCCTTCCTGCCTTCAGGAACATTCCATCCTGCAGACACAGTTTATATGTTTGGGTCCTTTCTGATCTGGGGGATCAAGAGCAAAGCTACTGTGAGCATTTGGATGCAGGTCTGTTTGTGCACATACCTCTTCCTTTCTCTCTGGAGTGAACCCCGATAACAGGATCGTTGGGCCATTCAGCAGCGGCACATTGAACTGCAGTGTAAGAAGGGTGAGCCCTCCTTCCTCAGTGGCTGGCAGCACCATTTTGCATCCCAGAGGCGGTGGTGAAGTTCTAGTTGCTCCTCGCCCCCGTTGGAGGAGGAAAGAGCAGAATGTGAATTCTCTCGTTCCTTTGGTGCCAGCTTTTGCCGTTGTGACAGGCATGTACAGGTGTCTTGCTGTGGCTTTAACTTGCATTCATCTAATGGCTAACGACTGAGCATTTCTTCATGTCATTATTCACCATCTGTGTCTTGAATAGGTTTTTGTTTTGATCTTTCACTCGTTTTTAAATGGTGTCTGTTTCTAATCATTGAGCTGAGAATCCCTTATATATTTTAGATGCGAGTTCTTTCTTAGATATATTTCACATTTTCTCTAGTCTTTAACTCCTCCACATTGTCTTAAAGTGTCTTTCTCTCCTTCTTCCCTCCCTCCCTCCTTCCTTCCTTCCTTCCACCTACCTAACTACTCTTCTTCCTTTCTCCCTCCCTTTCCTTCCTTCCCTCCTCCTTCCCCCTTTGATGCTGGGGACTTCACCAAGGACCTCGCTGTGCTAAGTCTGTGCCCCACCATGAAGCTATACTCCCAGCCTGAAACGTTTTTGGAAGAGCAGTTTTTGATTTTAACGAAGCCCATGTTACCAACCCTTTATGTTTTGTGGCTTATGCTTTTTGTGACCCATCTTTAAAAATCTTTGCATAGCCCAAGATCACAAAAATTTTCTTCTAGGCTTTTTATATTTTTAAGCTTTCTATTGAATACTATGATCAATTTTGAGTTGATCTTCATATATGGTGAGAGCTAAGTGTTGATGCCCATTTTTTTTTTTTTTTTTGCACAGACTGTGGAATCATCCCGTCCCCAAGCCTCCGCCTGCCCCTTTGGCTCCCCCCCCCTCACCGCCCCCAGCACCTTGGTGAATTCTCCCTGACTTGGAATGAGATGCTGCCGTTGACCTGCCCCCCACTCCCCAAGTCTCAGCCTGGCATTGAGCCTGGACCGGGATTTTTGTTGCGATAGGTAACCATCTGTAAAGGGGAAATGCTTGCTGTAAGTGACTAATAAAAAAGCCTCTGAGAGCCTGATGAATTGGCCTCGACATCTCACCACTTCCTCCCAGGTTTTAAACGAGAAACTGAAAGACATCCAGCCTCACCTGCTCAAATGAAATTCCACTTCCTCTGATCGGAGGGCCGTAAAATCTGCTTTTATCTGCCGCCCTTGCCTTTTCTGAAAGAAATCCAATTTAGCAAGTGGAACGTGAAGTCATTCCAGCTGATAAATAAATGCTGGTAGAAGCCCTGGCGAGCCCAGCATCTTGGCACCTGCAGATTTGCGAAGATGGAGGTGGTGGTGACCAAGTCCTCAAGAGGCCATTCATCCTAGGGCCACCTGGAGCCACCCATGGCTGTTGCAATGGGACCTGCAGCTTCTGGGGGAGAGCAGAGGGGGCTGGAGGGTGACCAGTTCTGTCACCTATGGATTGTCTGGTTTTGTGAGCCTAAGCTGGGGATAGAAGTGCTGTTGGCTCTCTATCAACCAACTGCGCATCAAAAACATTTTAAAATTTGTGTCCATACTGAACGTGCCCAGGTTTTTCTTGTCATTGGTGCATAAACAATAGGGTATTCTGAGTCATCTAGAGGTGATTTGAAGCGTGTGGGAAGATGTACATAGGCTATATGCAAATACTGTACCATTTCATAACACACCGAGCTCCTGTAGATGGTGGAGGGTGGGGTGCAGATCCCGGATCCAACAACTGCAGACGCGGACAATTGTACCGTGTGTCAGGATGAAGACAGGAGGCGATACAAATAAAAAAGGATTCTGAGATGTCCTAAATTTAATTATAAGGATGGTGGAGGGAAGAGATAAGCTAATTGGCTTTCAGCTATGGACTGAAATATGTTCTTCTCCACATTCCTGAATGTGCATTGAAACCTTGACTCAAAATCCCTGGCACGAACCCCAGGCGCCGTCCCCACCGCTCATGGGTGAATCACCAACCCACCACTTCTGAGGCAACGGACTGTCTCCTCACAGACTGGACTGTCCTCCTCTCAGATCTCCTGCTAATTCTCCGGCTCCTCTTTGGTGAGTTCGATGCAAACAGTTTTTACTTTCCTTTCCCATGTTTTGTCATGAAAATGCTCTGACTCAGCTCCAGTGGACGTTTTCTCGAGTGGCTATCTAGACTTGCTGCTGGTACTTGGGGAACTGGTCCAGGACCTGGTCCTGCCTTGGGCAGCATCTGCAATGGCTCCACAAGCCCTCCTGTTTAGAGAGCCCTCGGTTTCATGAGCTCTGGGTGAACAGAAGCAGTGCAGGGACCAGTTCCCTCGGAACTTGGGAAGTTCCCCAGGATGATAACCTGCTTAAAGCAATGGAGGGGACTTTGTAGGGGGCTTCCTGGCTGGATCCAGCTGTGTGTCCTACTTCAAGCGTGAGCATGAGTGACCATTTTCTCTAACACTGCAGGTGACTGAGAGGATCAGCAGTGATGCTGATACTGCCCCCAGTCCATTGTTCTCTGCAGTGCAGTGCTCGATAAAGAGAAGGACGATTAGTTAATTACCATTATGGTGGACTAAGTGACGCACCGACACCTCCCAAGCTGGCCATGCCCTAGCCCCTGGCCCATGACTCTCCTTTTTCCTATCATGCTTAGCACAGGACATGTTTATGACCAGATGTGGGGATGACCCCCCAGACCAACCCCCATAAGTATTTCTCTGGCAGGTACTAACCAGGTGTCCTGCGATTCAGTTCAGCTGGATACTGTCCACCTGGAGGTGACATCTTGCATCCACAGGTTGACAGCCTATTTCTGTAAGCCTGTCCCCACCACTTCAGACACCAACCACAAGTAGTAGGCTCTCTCAAGATTCAATCATGTCCATCATCCATATGCAAAGAAGAAAGTCTCTGTTAACTTCCCCTAACCATACCAAGCACCTGGGGTAATCAAATTATTCAAAGAAAAGGCTTATTCTGACTCAGTTTAGAGGCTCCAGTCTGCTGCAGTCTGGCTGGGAACAATTCATGAGCCACTTATCAAGCAGAAACAAACTTTATTTTTAGAACACACATGCTGCACCACACCAGCTCTTCAGGAATTCCCTCAGAGCCCAACTGCCACCACTGGCTTCCCACAAGCTCTCAACCTCCCCTGCCCACTCCTCCTGCTCTTGAGGCTGATTGGCTGGGTCATGTGGGCGGAGCCAAAAAATCCCCCAATGAGCAGCTCCGTGGTCTGAAAGGGCGGGGAAACAACCCAATGAGCATCACCGCAGAGGAGCCAATCAGCTGGCAGCTGGAAGTTTGCTGGGGCCACGGTGAGCCAGTCAGCTGGAAGTTTGCTGGGGCCCCTTTGGCTGTGGCTTTCAACACTGGTCCTTGATGGGTTGGTCCCACTGTCCTTGGCGTCTGGTGAGGCAGCACAGCATAGCAGGAGCCATGGAGCAAGACTGCTTGCCTCATGACCAGGGAGAAGCAAAGGAAGGGGAAGGACCTGAGTCCTGCAGTCTCCTCTAAGGACACCTCTAAGGACCTGGAGATCTCCCCAGGCTCTGCTTCCTACAGGACCCACCACCCTCCCACAGTGCCTCTCTGGTATCAAGCCTTTCACACTTGGACCTTGAGGTAACTTTGAAGATCTAAATCATAGCAAGGTCTTTAAATGTGACTTTTAATTGATTGAAATAAAACAAAACCAAACATTCATTTCTCACTTATACCAAGCAAATTTCATGACCAGTAGCCAAGCGTGGAAGATGGCTGCTGCGTTAGCTGACCTCCGCCATGCATGCCTCCCCCAATTTAGGGGTTCCACTGGAAGCTCTGCTCCAGTCTTCCCCCGGGGTAACAGAGCATTCTTTCCCCCAGGGCTTACGGGTAGATGGTCATCACTGGTGGGTTCTGCTGAGAAAGCAGTGAGTCTGAGTCTGGGCTGAGCAGGAAGGAGCCCAGGATAGATTAGCAAACTCACCCTGGGCATTGGATTAAAGAACCAGTCAGTTCACCTCCGTGATTGTGCAGCCTGCTGCAGGGGCGAGGACTCTCTCCCTGATCAGCCCAGTCCCTTTCCTCCCTGGCCATGTCCCTGAATGTTCTAGTCCCCAGCCAGAACCACCAGCCTCCCCACCCAGAGTAAGTCTCACGCTGGAGCTGGACACTGCCTTCACCCTCTGCTGGCTCCATCCATTCCTGAAACCCAACCTGCACCTGGGACTGCTAATCCCCCTCAAAACTGTTCCCCAGCCAAGCAGTCGTTTTAGGAATATGAGTGTCTCTGCTGTCATTGGTCAGAGTGGAAAACAGTCCCTGCGACCTGTGAGACTAGGAGCTTAGAGGGCTTGGTCATTTCAAAATCAAGCAGCTGCTCTGGGCTCTGCCTGAGAAACTCCACAAGAGCTTTGCTTAGGACCAGAGCAGCTCCGGGCAGGCTTCCTGGACCCCGAGCTCCACAGTCCAGACGTCATGACATTAGCCAATTCTGGTTTGCTTCCTTTCTTCCTTCTTCCTTCCTCTCCTCCTTCCTTCCTCCCTCCCTTCCTGTCTCTCATTAAAATTGATCAGTCACACTTCCTGTGCTAAGGAATTGGTGCCTCTTGTCTTTTAACCCTCACAATAGCCCCATGGGACGTATTTTCTTCCTACATGAACAAATAATTTCATAATAAGAAGTGGGGAGACCAGATTTCAGCCAGGACTATTGAAAGCACACCCTGCTATGCTGCTTCTGTCTTTCATTCCCTGAATGGCCCAGCTGTGAGAGGCAGGCTCAGCTGTGCAGCCCCGGGAATTCAGGGCCCTGTGGTGTTCTAGAGGCAGATTTGGAAAACTGCTAACTAATTACTCCATGATGCAGTTGGAGCTTCTGTATTACAGTGTTTTTTTTTTCTTTTTCAGAGTGAGGACCCCAGGCCAATAACATCAGGGTCAACATGGAGCTTTTTAGAAGAGCATACAGGTGGGCTTCAGCCCAGACCTACTGATCAGAAACCCTGGGGGTGAAGCTCAGCTGTTTGCAAGTCCCCATGCCCTCCAGATGCCCTCCATGCTCACTGAAGTTGCAGAATCACTTGTAGGATGCCTGGGATAATGTGACAAGGAGGGAGTTATCCTTCCTGGTGAATGAAGGACACTTTTCTGGTATTGAGAGACAGCAGAGGTCAGAAGCATATTCCACAGCTCAAGTGCTAAGGTGTGGGTGTGGCTTGAGTGTCCCCCAAGGATTCCTGTGTTGACATTTATCCTCACTGTTGAGGTGTCTGACTGTAGTGGTGGGTCTTTGGGAGGTGACCAGGATTAGCAAGGGTCTTCAGGGTGGGGTCCCATGATTGAATCCTGGTGGCTTCCTAAGAAGAGTGAGGGACCAGAAGAGACATGCACATGCTTCCTGTCTCTCGCCATGTGATGCCCTGTCCACCTCAGCACTCTGCCGGCAAGAAGGCCGTCACCAAGGCAGTTCTCTGACCTTGCAGAGCCGTGAGCCAAAGTAAGCCTCTTTTTTTTATGAATTACCCACCCCTTGGTGCTCAGTTATTAGCAGTAAGAAAACAGACTATGACAGAGAGGAGAGAACAGGGCAGCAACACTGTGAGCTAAAGGTTCCTAATACTCTGGGGTCTGTGATTGCCAAAGTGACCTAGGTGCCAGGTGGGTAATGGGGGAAGTGAGTTGGACAAGATAAGTTGGTACCAGAACTTGGAGGATCTGGAAGCCAAAGAATGTAGACTTCTCTTGTAACCCTTGCCACCTTTAGCAGGGAAATGGTACCTCATGTTTCAACTTAAAAAGCCTCATATAGGGGAGGTGAGAGGAGACAAGAGGTATATAAGCCCATGAGTCCAACAATCCATTAGCAGACCAAGAGGGGAGGAAGAAAATAGGGGGGGAAAAAAACAAAAACAAACAAACAAAACAAAAACAAATAAACTAACAAAAAAAGCATGAATCTCACCAGAGAATCAGAGCTACCTGACTTTTGAACTGGGATTTTGTTCCTGAGTCTGTTTGGGGCTTCTGTAAGAAAATGCTATAATATAAACTGGTTTAAAAGCAGCAGGACTTTATTTTCTCTGAGTTCCAGTAGCTGGTGGCTGGAAAGTCCGAGATGAAGGTGCAGCAGTTTGGTGGCTGGTCAAGTCTCACCTATTTGCATAGATGGCAGCTTCTTGCTGGGTCCTCACGTGGTGGCCAGGTTCAGAGAGGGCCTGGGGTCCATTTGAACAGGGCTCTGCCCTCATGACCGGGCTTCTCCCTGCGGCCCCACGTCATCCTTTCACTTAGGTGTTCGAGGCCGTTTCTCCAGAGGCAGAAGAGACCTCGACTTGGAATTTCCAGGCTCTTGTCACATCACAGAAAAGAACTTGAGGACACATCAGAGCAAGAGGTCTATTATAAGGAGCGGCAGGCATCTGAGAAGGGAGGGCAGGCCATCACAGAGGGAGAGGAGCGAGCGGTCACCTTCCTCTGGACCTGCGCTCTTTCCGAGCAGCTGGGCCCAAGGGGAGGCTCCTGCAGTTTTGAGCTCCTTTTCCGTGCGCGTGCTTCTTGCCTGGCGGCTTGATCCTGCGCTCAGTTCCTCCACACGCCCCCGGTTCCCTGGCAGTTTCCTCGCTTTACCTGCAGCCTGGGGTGTGGGGGCGCGCTATGGGCAAGGCGTGGGCGGGGCGTGCAGGTGTCTGTCGGGCGTTCCTGAGGTTTCTGAGTGCTTCCCTTCTGAGACTCAGCTCTCGGCTGTCAAATTCCTCTCCCAGTACCACCACCTTGGGGCACTGTGATTTCCACCCCAAATTTTAGGAAAACACAAGCATCCAGGACTCAGCAGTTCCCCAGGGATAGGCTGGTATTTTTGAGGAGCTGAATAAACGTATGCATTGCCTGAATCTATAGGGCCGTGCCTGTACACTTAGAGAACAGGTCGTAATGGTGCCTCGTAGAACTCTTGACATTTAGTGTACGTACTCATCAGTGGGGTGTCAGGTGGAACCCAGGAATCTGCATTTCCCACAAGCTCCCAGGTAAGGAGATGCTCTTGGTTTGAGGTCGTGTTCTGACTCGCCACACTGAGGCCCATCTTACCAGTCACTGCAGTGATAGTGTAGCATCCCCCGCCTCCCCAGAACAGACCCACCCATGGGTGTTTGATGGCACACTCCTGGGTTCTCACCTTACATTTCCCTTACGTGGGCTGAAACAGGAACATCACAGGCTCGTTAAACATGTGCCTTTATTTTAAAAGAAGATGGAGTCCCACAGAATGAGTTCACGGCTCGGTCCTATGGGTTCATGGTGGGCTGCCTGCGTCACACTCTCTAGGTCTCCTGCCTCTGTTGGTGAACTGGGAATAATAATGCTTGTTCTAATAATTAAAGGTGAGTGGGATAATGGATTAGGTCACATCTGTGCTTGTCATAGCCAGGGCCGGGCAATGCGAACTGCAGGATAACATAGGTCGGGTGTGGATCTAACAGCCTGACCCTCAGCGCAGACCAACCGCCCACTGCTGCAGACAGTACTGACCAGCGAGGAGCAAGGCCAGGGAGGCCCGTCTGTACCACACAGGCCCCCGGAGAGGAACACTCAGCACAGCAGAACCCATTTCTTCAGAGTTGTAAAGCTGCGAGATAAGCGCTCTGCTGCATGGGCCAAAGCATCCTCAAGAGATAGGGAAACAGGCCTCAGAGCAAGTCCTGGAGTCAACCAGCCGTCCTGTAATCCAGGGCTTGAGGACTGGAGTGTGGTGTCTGCAGCTAAGAAGTGGATCGCCTGCCTTTCCCCGATTCCCCTCCTGCTCTCCAGTCTCTGAGCGTATAGACAAACGGGGGCAGAGAGAGAAAATGAAATAAAACTTTGTAATCTTTTCCAGGGAGGCCTCCACGCCACGCGGTCAAGCCCAGGAGGCTTTGGACTTCAACTCTAATCCTCGCTGGGCGCGAATGAGCCGCTTCATTTCTCTAAGTCTTGTTTCATCATCTGGAAGCAGAGATAGCACCAGCTGGCTCCCGCATCGTTGGGAAATGAGATGGCACTCGTGGCGCGGTGCCAGGCCCGCTCTGTCTCCACGGAAGGCTCTGGAGTTAAAAGCTTTCCATTGCCAGGCTGAGTGCCGCTCTCCGAGGGCGACATGAGTCTTATTCCTTATTTACAGGCCACTGCCTTAAACACAGTAGGTGCTCAATAGATGTCTTTACAGTCAGATTGATGCACCCCAATTCCTGAGATTTAAAATAAACTGCTCACGGTTGGGGAGGACTGACATTTTCCACTGTCTAGATCACAGTGACTTTCCTTCAGCTTAGAGATGGACCTGGCAGTTCCTGCACATGGGCCTCAGAGTCTCCCCACAGCCCACAACAGGGATGTTCAGCAGCCATGTCTTGTTATCTTATCTGCAATCGATTGGCAATGGCTACCTGGAGTGCGGTCTGGAGGTGGCTTCTTGGCTCTGTGGGAAAGACACTGGAATCAATTTATAACACCAGGCACTGGTGTGGAAGGAGGAAGTGACAGCATCTCTGCCAGAACTTAAGTCTCCGGATGTATTTGTCCGTCTGTCTGTTACTTTGATGAAATACCTGAGGTTGACTACTTACAAAGAAAAAAGGTTTACTTGACTCACAGTGTTGGAAACTGAAAATCCAAATGGCACAGCTCCACCTCTGACAAGCGTCCCCTAACTGCATAGGTCACCTTCTGACAGACGGCATCACAGGTGTGTGAGCAAGAGATCGCGTGATGAGGCAGGAATCCAGAGAGGCTGAGGAGCCAGGCTTTCCGTTGTAAGAATCCGCTCCTGAAAACTGACCCAAGCGTCCCCAAGAACTGTCTTAATCCCTTCTGAGGAAGGGCCTGTCACCAGGCTCCACCTCTCAAAGGTCCACCCCACCACGTGGAAAATAGAAAACTTCCACGGGAAGCCCTGGAAACCTTATCCAACCCGTAGCACTGGCCCACAAGAGAAGCCGCACACCAGCTCATGAATGAAGACAGATGATGAGGAGTTTTTAAATGCTCCACATGAGCGATAATGGAAAGGCCTATAACAAAATGTGGAATGCAATTAAATGGCTTTTTAAAAGGCTTTTTATATTCTTCAATGGTGGTATTAGAAAAGAAGAAAATAAGTTGGGAAAAAGGCTTCCAACTTAAGAAGCCAGAAAAAAAAGAAACACAAGCAAATATACCCAGAGCAACTAGATGGAATGGAAAGATAAAAATAAAGTCGAGCGTAAAATAAGGCCAGATTAAAACAAAGATATAAAGATCGTAAAACCCAAAGTTGTGTTTTTTTTAAAAACTCTAAAATCAGCACACTTTCAGCAATATTGGCAAATCTCAAATAAGATAGCAGACTCCAATTAAAAAAAAAACTATGTGAAATGGAAAAATAGACATAAATGCAGATTCAACATAGATTTGAAAAAAAAATAGTGAAGGACCCTATGAAAATTTTGTGCCAATAAACTTAAAAGCAGAAATAATGGATGAATACCTTAATAAAAATATAAATATTTAAACAGACTCATGAAAAAAATAGAAAACTTGAATGGTTCAATAGTTGTTATGGAAACTGATTACAAAATTAATGTTTTTTTTCCTCATGTTTAAATGAAACACCAAATCCTGCTTAACACTGAAGGAACAAATAATTTCAGACTTCTCACAGATTCAGAGGAAAGAAAAGGAGACACTGCCAACTCAGTTTCTGAAATGCTATGAACCAGATCTCTAAGCCAGAAAGGACAATATTAAGAAGCAAAAATCCTGTAGTAAGTATCCCAATCTTATTCAAGAATGTAGCCAAATATTAGAAAACTGACTTCAACTATAGGTTAAAAAAAATAACATATCATAATTAAATTGATTTAATTTCAAAAAATCAGGTTGACTCCATGGTAAAAAAAAAATCTCTTTATATAACTGAAAAGATTATCAGATTAAAAGTGCAAAAAACATTTGATTATTGTGTTTGATACAGGAGAAGGATTTGGCAAAAATAAGTCTTATTTCATGATTAAAAACACAACATAGCTTTTATAGTAGAAATAAAAGATAAGTCCCTTTGACTGATAAAGTTCATACAAAATAAAATAAACCAAACAACAGTGATAGAAATCTACTGAAACCATCCCCTTAGCATTAAAATGGTGAACTCATTCCTTTTAAATCTGGAATAAAGCAGAAAAGGGTGTGGTCCCTACCTGTATCCAGTCTTGTACTGGAGGTCTCGGCCAGTACATAGCAAGGAGAAGAAATGGAAGTCGTCAGAAATAAAACAAACAAACAATAACAACAACAAAAATAACAAAGAAAAAATAAAGAGGAAAAAGATTTAATCATACATAGATAATATAAACACCCACTTAGAAAACTTAAAAGAATTTATGATCAAATATTAATGAACATTTGCTGAGATTCTCTTGCTCATCATCAAAATATATAACCAATTACATTGACATCTATCATCAATAATCAGAAATTTAAAATAAA